ATTTGTGCAATGGTATAATAAGTTTGATAAAAAACCATGAGCGATTCCTTCCAAATGGCTTACAGAACGAAGGTTATTTAGAATGGACACTGATCCCATGTTTAGGTTAAAGTATGAACAAGTCTATTAATAGGCCTTCATTAAGACTTGCCTATTTACGATCAATTGAAGCCTAATTAATTCAAAGGCAATGGTGTAATACTTGAAAAAATTAGCAAAGAACTCAGATCATTTATTCCTTCTGCAACTTCACAGTAGCATTGGCACGTACATAGATTTCGGGTCCGGATAAGAATCTCACACTATTTTGGGGACGATATCAATAGTATTATAAACTTCAAAAAAGCTATGGCTTCAAAACTTTGTTATCTGCATACGTGTACAAGGCCATTAGTTTATGGACAGTTTCAGTTTAAAAAAATGGATCGGCAAAAGACTTTATTTATGGATCTTTGGTTGTTCGAATTTTAAATTTCTGGCACTTTATCATAATTTCTCGAGACCGCGTGCAGTGCGAAATCAAAAAGTTTTGATCAATTTAAGTCTAATTTGGGGGGGGGTCATTATTTACATAATCAATATAATCATTGATATTAATATTGACATGTGCTGGCCGTAACGGATTACAGTTTTTTTTGCAACAGCAGTTAGAAGTTCGGTAGCACAACAAAATAAGGTCTCAAATCTGTACCCTAAAATCCTTGCTGATCATCATAACAATAGTAATAACGCCTCATTCATTCATACTTTTTCACAGCGATTACCATAAAAAAGGCCCTTTGTCACATAGCGTTTGTGATATATTAGTAAAATGGGAACGCTTCCATAGTTTTTTGTGCAAGACCGAAACAGTCCAAATCACAATGAGGATTTGCGTTTTGATCAAGTAAACTCGACATTGAACAGTACTGCCTACCTAAGAGAGTTCCATACATTGTAGTACATTGTCACGTTTTTCCTGCACTATCTTTATATCTATAGGAATTATATATGTGTTGTGTAATTTGTGTCGCTATAATTTGTGGCAGATCGTAGAATGTGGCCGACAAATTTACCACCCCCTTATATGATGATCGATTATCTAATCTGATTAACAGGGCTCTTTTAAGATTATAGTCAATAATTCAGACACTTTTTATCCGACACTTTTATGGTCGTACAGCATAATTCTGAATATGGTTTGATCTTCATCAATATAACCAACACAAATTCCGGACGTCTTTCATTTAAATAAGAACCCACTTTTGCCTAAATTACACTATTTTGAGCTTGTAGCCAAAATCATTCGTATTATTTCAGTTACTGGTAAATGTTATTATTAGTATTAGAGATTGTTTCTATCTTGGTAAATAAGTGAACTGTCTTTATATGTGTATGAATCCGTTCTGGAAAGATCTTCACTATGTAGTATTACTGTATATAGAGATTTAAACAAAGTTCGTATAGTTAGCTAGAGGTTTTATTTTTATCGAGGATTATATGGGCATACTGCGACGTTAACACAAATTGCTACTATGTTTTAATTACTTGATATCAATACTCCAACGTAAATTACGCAATAAAGAGTTCGTGTCATAATTTTCCTGATTCTGATCAAGATAAAGCACAAGTTTGTCTAACGCACAAAGAGCTTCTGAAAGAGAGATATTAGGAAGTTGTTCAGATGGCCCTATACTGTTAGTGTATTGAACATTTCACAGAGGTTCTTTTTTATAGTCCCGTTTAAAGTCTTTCGGGTTTTTTATTCTTGCGTTTATTCTAATAGAAGGAAAGGACCAGCAGTAGTGTTAACTAATCGAGGTATTCGACTTATGGAGGTTCGCTTGTTATAAGCGTGAGAGAATTCTCTCTTTATCTTTATCTTGATCCATTGATAATCGTATGACTTAGAGTTAATGATCAAAGGATCGGTAGACCATACCCAGTAATTCGGGAGAATCAAAAGTCGATAAGAACAAGTTGCGTTGTGTAACAAATTGTAATTCTGAAACTTGAAGATATTTCGAGAGATTATTCTAAAAACTCCTGACTGTAGTAATTAATAATAGGCAGAATTTCATAAAGCTCTTTTTTAAGCAAATTTAAAGAAATGGGATGTATAGCAGAAAAACATTCATACAGCAAACCACTAGAAAGTATAATAAATATATGAAGGCTGTGATTGATTTGTTCTAGGCTTTTTATTCCAGCCGGTTTGTTAAGATATGAAAAATACTCTTTTTTTTCTCTATTGCCTATACGTACTATGTAAGTTACAATAATTTTTATTGATATGTTGTATCGCTATATAAATCCCGGATTTATAATATAATTTGTGGCAGAACGCAATTTATATATATATTAGTGACAGCTCACTCCAGAACGCAATTTATACATATAATTTGTGGAAGCTCACCCCAGAACGCAATTTATACATATAATTTGTGTAAACCCAAGCATTATTTACCCCAGATAAGAAGACACTACATAAACCTGGCTCGACATATCATTGTGAAAAATATGCTTTGAGTTACTTAAATACGTTAGAGATTATTCTTTTATTATAAAAAATACGTTAGTGAGGCCGCAAATATCACTTAGGCTAAACAAATTGGTTTAAGCCTAATACTAAGTGCGCTTATCAACTGTTAGCGTTCGAACAACCAATGGTACGACAGGAAATTGCCAGCCTCAGCTGATTAATTTCTAAATACGGATAGATCGTGTGAATTAACAGATCTACCAGCAGTGTGCTGTCGTTTGACAATCAACTATATTGTCGTATCACTCAACAATGAAGCATTAAAGAGTTGAATCTCTATGCCACAATGTATCATTAGACAATTTGCCTCTTTCGACAATGACAACGATTATATCATCATAAGTTGAATCATCGTATGATGCATTCTTCAGACACTTTTATCCGACACTTTTATGATCGTACAGCATATTCTGAATATGGTTCAATTTAACCAGGACTCAATAAGAAGAGCATTACTGACATTATAATTAAAGACAGTAAAGGTTGTTTAAGCCATGTAATAGTTGGTCTGTACAAGCTCCAAAGAAAAACTTTCACCACAAGCGTTATTAGAAATATTAAGTAATACCGTATATTATCGCGAATAAGCACACCTACCTACCCCATGATTACCATGATTACCCGCACAATGTACCCCTCATTAACAATTTATTACATGATAATAATACACGTGATTATAAACCTTTTACAAGTGGCTCTCGATATAAGAAAGTGATCGGGGCCCAACAAATTCCTTTCTTATATCGAAAATCTCTTATAACGAGAGTCATTTGTTATAAGATTTTAAATCGGGTCCAGCAAAAATACTTTCTTATATCGAAAGTTTCTTATATCGAAAGTTTCTTATATCGAAAGTTTCTTATATCGAGAGCCACTTGTATTTCAATTCTATAATACAATACAATTCTGGTTACTGTGATTACTATAAACTAACCCCCTAAGTTTGTTATTTACGTGACGGTTTTGCCGATCATTTTCATATATGATCGAGGGGGTGTGCTTATTCACGATAATATACGGTATGTGCAGAGAAAAATATCTTGAGTAGCGGCGACTTACAACGATAATAAACATCATACAACTGCTAACAGACAACGTAAACATTGTTTAATGTCATACCAAGAGGGAATGGTCTGGATTCACTGTCATACCAAGGAATGACAGAAACATCAGAACTGATATTCAGCTGTTACTATTAGCAGATCGAATGGTCACTAAAAATCGTGGTATATCATGCTAATTAGGCAATCTTTGTTAAACTGAATGGTTTATTTTATACAGATTTTAATTATAAATCTTCGTTAAACCGGGGGCTAAGGCATATATGAATATTTTTCATATGTTTTACTAGTAAAATCTTGACCCTATTTTTTTTCCCGGACCTAATAAGCCAAATAAACAATTTACAACAAAGAATGCATCTGTGACAAGTAAATTGCTTATCTAGTATTATCGAGGTTGACTATGTATACAGTCAACCCTCTTTATAGTCACCCCCTCTATAAGCACATCATATGAAAACCTCTTTATAAGCACACCATGTTTGGGAACCAATTACTATTGAACTTATAGGAAAAACTCACACCTCTTTATAAGCACATTTTCAACAAAAGTTGCATTGTTCCCGACAGCGTGACTATAGAGAGGGTTGACTGTATAGGTAAGTTTTAATCGCGGTGTGAGGAGATTGAAAGCTTCACTCGCTTATTACTATTAAATGATCGACGTAAATCGTATTTATACCTTTGAAATTTTCGATTTTGTGGTATCTTCGTATATGCTATAATTTTTAGATTTGTTAATGGATAGCATAACAAAATTAAGGGGCCACTACATGTGTAATTACGATTATTTCGTTTTCCCAAAATTCGCTAGCTCCCGTATTGATAAAATTGAGTTCATCCTCAGGGTTTTGAAAAGTTGGATAATTTATCGAGTTTTAGATGTGTTGCACCATATTAATCACATAACAGAGCAACCATAACAGCGTGACCATAATGTAAAAGTAGTCGCGAGTAATCATAGCGAGAGGCCGCGAGTTAATCATGAACGACAACAAATAATAATAATGCGAATTGTAACCATGAATAAAAAAGGCCGTAAGTGTATTCGAAGACTCTTTAATTGTAAACATTTCTCATATCGCCTGACTTGGTGTTGCATAGCTTCTCAACATCATGCGACAAGTGCAAGAACCATATTTACAATTTATTCCGTTTGTAATTATGGGCAAAAAGTAAATTTTTATGATATTAGTTTGTCATTTATATTCCAGCCTTGTTAGACTGATAGTTTCACATCGCAGTGATCACAGGAACCAAATATCAATCCAATTCTAGAAATAAGATGTCATGCAAATGCTTATCATGTACTTTTGAATGTTAATAAAGTTCTAAATATGACTTTTAGAAATTAAGTATAATAAGGAAAATAATAGCAAAACAGTCCAATGTTGATGTTATTCTTGCAACCGGTTATGTTATTCAGGTGCATGAGAAAACAGGAAGGAGACTGATTCACCATTGTGAGTTCGCCGTATAGCTATTACAAAAATAACTAATCAGCATGGAAGCAAGCTACCTACAAAAAACACGAGTAGGAAGTTCTCAACCTTACCTTCTGCCAAAGTAGGTGAAATATCTATAGTATCAATTTTCTCGCAGATCGCCTTCTTATCCTCGTGTGGTATTGTATTTGTCACTACCAGTTTCTCTAATACCGAATTATTAATAACATCTATAGCCTTCCCTGATAAAATACCGTGTGCAACGATAGCATATACTTTTGTAGCACCATTCTCCTTCAACGTTTTCGCTGCCAAAGATAGCGTTCCACACGTATCGGCCATATCATCAACGACAATAGCAACTTTTCCTCGAACATCGCCTACCAGAACCATGCGGGAGACTTCATTGGCACGTTTGCGTTCTTTGTGAATAAGAGCAAAGTCGAGGTTAAGTCTATCGGCGATTGAGGTTGCTCTAACGTAAGTGAAAAGTATAGATAGAATGAATTAAGGGGCAGAAAGTTAAGTGCTACAGTCTTTCTCAAGCGATTAAAAACAAAAGACTTATAAATAACACCATCGCTTCATAAACCAACCTCTTAGCTCCACCGGCATCAGGTGACACAATAATTGCATTGGTCCAATTCGGTATCTTCGTCCTAATATATTTCAACATCGATGGCTCACAGTACAAATTGTCTACTGGAACGTTAAAAAATCCCTGAATCTGACTTGCATGTAAATCGACTGTAATCACATGGTTAGCTCCAGCTACTATCAACATATTAGCCACCAATTTCGCCGTAATTGGTGCCCGTGATTTATCCTTTTTATCCTGTCGAGCGTACGGAAAACACGGAATCACCGCTGTTATTCTTCTTGCCGAAGCTGTTTTGCATGCATTAATCATGATGAGGAGTTCCATAAGATTGTCATTGATTTCACCACAGCCAGATTGAATAATGAAGACATCTTCGTCACGTACAGACTCCCCAATTGTCACTGAAGTTTCTTGGTTGGTGTATTTTAGCACGATTACTTTTGCCAAATCGATTCCGATCCGACTGAATTGGGAAGTGGGAGGGAAGTGATTTTACCGAGAAGAGAGGAAAAGTAGTGTTGACGGGGATGGTGGAAGTAGAATGAAGAGTGAGAACAAAGATGATAAAATTGAAGTGAAGTGATATATAGTGCGTTCCTTTCTTCTTAGTTATGGTTTGCATATGAAACTAGTGTTAAAAGAAATAAATTGTGATATAAATAGACTAAGTAGATACACGGAAAATATTGTCCGGAGCGCAATTTACTGTAATTAAACACGGTTAGATGTTAAATACCATTAAGGATCACTAACCATAGTGTCTCTCTCGGTTTTCATGTTTGCCTCCTACTGCCCACTCGCACCTACTGCACCTTTAAACTAGCCAACATACTTTCATAACTACTGTGGGCTCCTCCTTATACTAAGCCATCGTATCTTTCCGAACACATACCGGGCTACCATCTTGGCTAACTCAATATGCGAGTTACCTGCAAATATCTTTATTGAATTCATATTCACAGGTGAATAAGATTCACGACCAGGTTACTTAGTGTGTCAATAAGAGAATAGTGAATAAATATTTGTTTTATTTGTCCATTCGTTTGTCTAATATAAAAAAATTTTTTTCTTTGAAAAAAAAAAGTTTCTGATAACTTTATACTAATTTGATTTGATCAAGATATGATTGCATTTGTACCTATTGCCTTTGCGAGAATTTGTCGGGTATCCTTGCACGTGGTTATACGAGAATGCCATATTGCAATCGATAATCAAATACTGCCCTCTCTGGCATCTTGTACTACTTTATTAAGCCACAAACAATAGTAGATTTACAGGCATTACTACTATTTCTCCGGAGAGAATCAAGGCTCCAACAAGCAATGCCCGGAAGAAGATTCACCGAGCGCCATTTTCATCTCGATCCATTACATAATTCCGGCGCTTGTGCATCTCGGACCCTCCTATTTTTTGAACGCTCCCACACCAGCTGCAAGTTTTTGAAGTATAGGCCTCGTTTTGGATAATAACACGGACCTAATTCTTCTGCTTTAGCCACCAAGGCGTTGGCGAAATTGATAGTGGCCCCAACAGAGCATTTTGCGAATGGTTTTTCATGTTATCCTTCTTGTTTTTCGATTTGCCATGTTCGACACCTCAAAAAAAGGATAATGGCATCGAATTCGCGAGTGAAAAACGCGACACTCTTTTTATGAACTTCGCTTTGCAGGTGTTTGATTTTTCGTCGCATCCGAAAGATTACCTTATCAAGTCGCAAGGCCTGTTTCGAACTAGAGGCAGCCAGCTTGTCCTTTATAGAAAGAAGATTGTCCATGTGCTTGCATAGGCGAATAATTCGTCCAATGTCGTATTTATATTGGCCAATTTTACCTACATTTTTAGTAGAAGAGTACCATGTGAAGGGTGTACGAACGCCAGGGTCGATGGAAACTGCATGAACAGAACCATCATGAAAATTTCCATTCATTAGTTTTGCGAAGATACGTAAGCTTACAATCGGACGTTATTCTGTGAGGAACAGGCCACTTATTTTTCGAAATGAAAGCGGCCACAAATCGCGTTTGTCGCCAGAATGATAACAGGTTTAGCATACAACTCTCTCGGCAATACCCAAGGCAAATCCGTCCGAGTGAGGAATGATTACACCGACCATAAAGGCGTTAAAGATACCGTGCGCGAAAAAAGTTTTTGGAATAAAATGCATAAACTTTATTTAATCAAAATAGTCAACTAATACGTTTTGTGCGTTCTAAGTACGACATAAAACTTGCATTTTAAGTTATGAATGGACACTTGGTTTGCTGAGATACATGGTGATAGATACATGGCAATAGGTATATTACTACAATACAAGCTTTCTAACTTATTCAATCCATTTGAATTAACCTTCTCTATGTGACTATCATTACAATAAACAAACTTCAAGTTAGGACACGCATCAATGAATACATAGAAAGACATTGCATGTTTTTAATGCATTGATGAAGATGCACGGGCTCAAGAGAACTATTTATGCGGGCGTCTCTTTTCGAACAGAACATCGAGCTAGTGCTAGATCTGTCTATAGGGCTTACCGCTATTACTATCTCGTATTACTGTTAGGGCTGTGCAGAAATGCTGGGAGGAATATAAATATACGTCACTATTATCGTCCGTACAAAATCCAATAATCATAAATAATAAACACAACAGTTATTTGCTTTATGCTTCTATTTTTCGTTTTTTCATCATGAGTTGGTGGTAATGTTCGTTTATTGGTTATTATTTTTCGTTCTTCTTGGAAATTTTCATAAGTAAAATTTTCTTTATCTAGATATTCCCGGAGGGTTTGCTATCATAATCATTGATTTTAAAAATATATGGAGCAATTTTCCTCCTTGAGCTTTTTTTAGAATGAAATTTTTTGGATTTGATGTAAATTAGTTTCATATTATATTTTTATATAGACATAATCCTATTACTATATGGAACATGTTATAGTTTATAATGTCAAGTAAAAGCAGGTTGAGTGTCAGTCATGTTTTTGGACAGCCAAAATATCATTTGTCAAATTAGTTGACTTTTAGCCACACCAGCCTCTCATTTACACTACATAATAAAATGTTCACTTTGTCTGGTTTGTTGCAACATGCCCCATATTAATATATAATATAACATAGCAGTTATCTTTAATTAGGCAATATGAATTTATAGTTAAAGACAGCAATATTAAATATTATTAATGATGTGACACTATTTATTACATCAAACTAGGTGTTCATATTCATATTCACACACCACACTTTACTTTGTTTTTCTTTTAAGGTACTCAACTGTTGTATAATGAGCTAATTTAGAAGGTAGTCTATACACTGTAAATAATATAAATTCTATTCAACACTACTTAGAACTGGGTACATATACATAGTAATAGTCTAACCTGATGTTGGATGTTTAACAACTCGGTGTTGTATGTGACAATAACAAAGCGACTGTTCTCACAATGTCATGCGGTATTAGTATGTAAATTTGATAGTAATAGAACGTGCACTCGGAACTGTACAAGATCTAAAAACCTAAAACCGACATTTAATTAATATTAATATTAACAACCATAATATAATTATCACATGAGAATTGCAAATGATTATGATTATGATTAAACCAATTACAATCACAGAATTTTTGACGCGAAAATAACGTAGCACAAGATTTGATAACGCGCCTGGTAGATGTTGACCCCATGCTGATACAACAGTATGTATATATAATCAAATGCATGGTATATCACACCCTGACTTTTGAAAAAACCACTTATTCGCAAGATGGACGGTCCGATGTCTGCAAATACATCGAACACTACTCTAACCAGTCTTACTTTTCTAAAGGTCAGTACAATGTATTGCTTCATAGTAACTGCATCTTCACTACTTTTGCTAAGTTGCACTCTTATCCAGGGCGAAGAATATGAAGCTGTTCGCCGAGAACACATTGAACGTAACCGAGCCTTATTGACTAAACTAGGACTAATCGGAACTGACTCCTTGATTTCTCCTGGAAGCAAGCTAATCACACCAGCTAAAACTCGCCAAATTCGAGAAACTAGCGGAAGAAATAGGGATAAAATCGATATATCATTCCGCAGTAGGCTAAGGAGCTCGGGGAAGGTAAGAAACCATTCAGAAGATGGATTCTATACTTGCCATAGCATGCTTATAATATTAATCAGTTATCTAGCGACATATTCGAACGATGACTAAATGAAATGCCTATGGATGTATAGATAGACCTCTTGAAAGAGAATTCCTTGTTGAACAAGAATAATGTTGATCATAGCGAAAAGAAACGTTATCCTAGAAGCAAGGTATTAAACAACGTTCAATTGCCTCGAGAGATTACATAAACCTGTATATTGACAGTCATTAAAATTTTCCATACGAACCAAGACTCATAAAAAAAGTTTTTCAATCCGATGTGCGAATCCTGGGCGCCGTATCATCGGAGGACGCGTTTATGATTCTGAACTCGGCACGACATGCCATCAGTGTCGTCAGAAGACCACTGAGGAAAAGGTTTCATGTACTGTAAGTCATCTATTCCTCAGTTGCCAAAAACAATATAGATGTACCTATTTATTTCGACATCACGTATAATATTATTTATCTAGTATGTGTTACCTGATGGAAGTTTATGTCCTGTGATGTTCGATGAGCGATGTCTTATGGGAAGGTAGCAAACGGAATATCCAATTTTCTGTTGGAATGACGAATAGGTATCGATATTTTAATAATAATTATACATTCGCTTCAAATATCACCCAAGATACGGAGAGAGTCTTTACGAAGTCCGCCAAACGGGTGTCTGGGTTTGTCCCAAATGTCGTGGCATTTGCAATTGCTCCTTTTGCCGGCGCAGAAAGGGTCTCTGTCCGACCGGCATCCTGAAACCAGTGGCGTTGAAAAAAGGTTTCGGTAGTGTTATGGATTTTCTCTCTAGTACTACTCATTCGCCTACAGAGAAGATGCTTGCAACTCGACTTTCGGCTAAAAATGGGACTAAAATATGCGGTGATCGTAATAATGCTATGGTCAATATTGTATATCGAGAATGTGTTGGTCCAGAGATGACAGAAACGTATGAGGCAAAATTAGAAAACCCATTGGCAGTTGAAAATAAGCACAATCTCGAAGAAGATTATTCGGGCTTCATCGAATATGGAGGTGAGGAAGAGAGGGTAGCGGCACAATATAATGGACAAAGGAAGGATAATGAAGACAGTTGTAAAGCAGACAAAGGGAGACTAACGCTGTATAACACAAATGTAAGAAGATCCGAAAGACAGAGGCTAAGGAAAGAAAGCCAGCATGAATTTGTCGATGAGAAAGGACGCCAATCGATGCAAAGGGCTGAACATAGACACGTGAGTCTGGAGACCATGATTGATAAAAAGCAACATTTTATTGACTGGAACAAGTTTCCAGATGGTATCTGCGTTCTTATTGATCACAAGCCGTCTAGCTGATTGGAACAAGGTATCCTTTCTATTATTACTATATACCACTGACTGAAGATTTTGGGTATTATAATTTCTGGGTCTTTATCAAGAACGATTTAACGTGGAATTACCATCAGCATAATTGCCGGATTGGAAATAAATAAACTACTTATATTATTTCTAGTTGGATAACAAACGAAAAGACAATAACCTTATTTATTACAGAAACGATAGATCTTGTTTCACTATCTGTAAAGTTGTTAGCCAAATCTACTCCTCATTCAAGCGTGATTCTGAGCCATGTATTTGACGGTCAACATAATTAGTGAGCACTATGCGTTTATTTATAGAAAATTTCTGCGCATGCCAATAAATGTCTAACATGCACTATAAAACGCCTTTGTCCAAAAACCGACTCATTCTTCTTGCGCAATTGTTTTCTCTATCATTTCTTTATAGCAACATGTAGATACGTAAAGTGAAATTGTCTACTTGCGGTCTGATTGGAATTTCTCTGCGCAAGAGGACAGTGTATCAACACTGTACGCGCTTCTTTACATGCATGAAAGTTATCGTTTTTTAACCGTCTAAATCTGGCCAGTTTTTTTGTAATAGTAAGTATGAAGTCTTAAGCGGCTCGAACTACGGCGCAAACGTGAAACGAGATTAAAACTACTGAATGCTGACGGAAAAATGTTGGCTTATTCTCTCTATGGTCTCAAAAAAAATCTGGAATTAAAAATATGATATCTGTGCATAGCAATAATTTGTTTGAAAGTCACGTTTTGTTAATAAATTTTAATGTGCTCTCCAATATCTCACAACGCGGTTCAGCGAATTTGCAAGTCGATTCCGGTATTCCTTCCCACTCTTCAACCGAACCATCCTCCACAAATTTTCAAGTCAGAAGCCAGTATATAACTTGAGGGACATTATCATGAAGGACTAATGGCTTTAGTTGTCCCGTTGGAAATGCCAATTTCCCCTCTAGCATTTGCTTAATACGAATATTAACATAAATTTAGCGTAATTATGTTTTCGAGCAGTTTTTTCTCATGCACAAAACCACCCCAGTTCGAGTCAGATGTCTTGCAGTGGTTGAATGAGACACTTGTACATTTTGTGCTAGCACAAAGCCCTGGTTAATATGCATTGACACAAACATCCGCAGCAAATTTGAATTGTCGGCCAACCCCCAGCATGCGATTTTTCTCGAGCTTTTTAATATTGTCATGATTGTTAAAAGTGGGGTGTTTGTTAGCGCATGTAATATTGTCCCAGCACGAATCGCTTTATTCCACAGTGTACTAGAACTTGAAGAACTTACAGAACGTGAACTTGTGATCGAGTTACGCTAATTTAATCGCGTTATATTCATATATATTGATATACAGTGAAATTCACTTTAACGAAGGTCGCTTATAACGAAGGTCTTTCCAAAACGGATTCATATATTTCATATAAAAAGACAGTTCACTCAAGGTTAACGAAGCAAAATCGTGGAACGAATGTCTTCGTTAAAGTGAATTTCACTGTGTATATATATTTTGACATAATCGTTGCCTTTTCTCTTTCATCTAGTATACCGTTCCCCATATACCGGTTTTTGCTATAACGCCCCAAATTTTCAGGAACGGTTTTTTACATATGAATTTTCCCTTTATATAGCGGCCATCATTAATTAAATTGTCCCGGTCGAAATTTTGCTGGACGAAGTTCGTCATACTATTACAAAAATACCGATAATCATGTAACACAGTAAATAAACCTCTATGTTTAACTTACCATGTCACGTAAAAGACGTTCTTTTCCAATCAATAAATAAAAAATCCAGAGTTTTTCCCCACTGCTTTAAAATTCATCAATTTAAGTGGAATTCTTATTGTTCTCATAACCAACTTGCAGAAATGTTTGCGCAGTACGATTAGTAACATACTCCGTACAATATGGTAAATGACGACATTACTGAAATAGTTTTATCCGAAAGTAATGAGCAAGATACAAATGATTGTAATGACAGAAAAATTTTCGTTTGAGGCATTTATTGCACGAGAAGACGTGGTTAATTTACAGCGTTTATGACGCAGTATTGAATTGAGCAGAATAGAAAGTCAGGTTTTAGACAAAGTTAGATCAAATAACACGAGTAATAAATAAGTAAACGTGTTAATCAAGTAATAATAAAATATATGCACTCGTTGTATCACCTGCATTTTATGCCCTTATACCGGCCAAAACTGGGCTAACCAGTATAAAGAGGTTCCACTGTGCCTAGCATTTGTTCTTAATTAATATATATTAAAGCTTAAAAGAATTGAATCTCTGTAAGGAAACAAAAAAAGATCATTGAGAACTTTGACTGTAAACTGTCTAAATACATATAATCCTTCAATGCCAATTAGTACCGAAGTTCAGGTCGTTGGAAAGACTTTATTTAGTGATAAACTACATTTCATAAGCATTGCATTGGTGCGAATGTGCGCGTCTGATTACACAATCTATAAATAGTTACTATATAGGGAAAAAGAGTGCTGACAAAGATAGCAAAACACATAAGAAGCGCGACTTTCTGTTAGAATTCTTAATGTTCCTTAATGTTCAATTAATATTCCTTTCTAATAAACGAGTAGTTCTTTATACTCTGAAATACATTATTAATGATTCGTTCTCTGGTAAAGTTGTGAACCACTAATACCTATATCGATCAGGAATATCCGCTCTTGTCCCACGGATATTCTCATCATTACTTACGTGAAATGCATTTTCCGATAGAATACAAATTATAATCTATCGGAAGGGAATAATAGTTGGTTAACCCGAGGGCGAATAACCGTCTGGGTTTAGTGTCAGCAATCGATTGCTCTCCCACGATTGTTGACCATATAAGTCATCTTGCCAAAATAATAAAATAAAATAAAATCCAACAGCCAAATAATTTACTAGATCAGAATTGATGAATCTTCTCCTGGATGAGCTTGTCTCTTTCAAAACCATAACCACTAACTTTGAATAAATGTAGACAGTCAGAATTACGAATTTGTTGAATTTTATTACCAAGATGTCGATAACTAAAAACTCTTGATCTTATAACAACACATGTACATATCTTTGCTGAATCGGTTTTTTGAGTTGGCCTTCTGAAGAAAATAGATTTCATGTAAGAGTCTCTAGCTTTATTATAATTATTATTATAGACAACCATTAATATTTCATTCTACAGCTAAGGTTTTACTTGAATTGCGATTAATTTTCATGTTTCTCGTGATTTTTTTAACAGCCAAACGTTCGCTAAATTGGGTTTTCAAAGACGAGCAAGCCCAAAACGTAGCACCAAGCCTTATTTATATATTACAAGATAAGAAAAGACACTAGGTATCCTGAAACACAGTGTTTTGATTATCACATTGCCGATCATAGTAATAAGAGGGTGACCATGTACGTCATTATTAGATCGAACATTGACAACTTTCTCTTCACATCGAACTCCCTCAAATGTCTTATCAGAACCCAGGTACTTTTGCTCCGTATACGCCACCACCTGACGAAACTCCAAAATCACAGCGGTCGTCTGTCCGCTACGCTCCTGTCCCTCACAGCTCCTCCGCAGCTGCGTCTACTTCAGCAAGTGTGCAAAGCAGTAACCCATTTGCCGGAGTATATCAGACAACGCACGGTCTTCCAGAGGGAACAATTAAAGTTAATAAGTATGAAACTACATTAGGACTAAGGTCAGGATAAGAAGTTATTGTATTAGTGAGAAGAATTGTGAACTCTTTAGTCGATAGTAAGAATAGATTGATAGCAAAAATAAGCATTTTTCGTTAGGATTGAGCTGTAACAGTATTTATGTCTTGTTTACTTTTTAGAGTTGATGTGGAAGCAGCGTGCACTTATCTTTTGGGATGTGTGACCGGTGAGTATGGACACGCAACCTGGATCGAATAAATGCCACAGTCATTGGAGAGTATGACTAAAGGTACTTTGTTATTCTTAAATCTGTTTTTTCTTGTTACGTTTTTTCTTTAATCAGGTGTATTGTTCTTGATTATGGAAACAAAGAATGACTATGTGCGATTTCATGCGTGGCAGGTAAGTCGTTTGGGATAAAGAATGAAATTTGTCGGAAATACTAATGGACGCTATGATTAATCTGTAAATTCGTTTGATTCACTTTAGTCATCTCTTCTTTTTGCTGCGGTCTTTGTGAGTAGTGTAGTTGTCTTTGCTGCTGATCATTCTTCCTGAACAGCCTGACTAACAGACTAATTTCTCCTTTTACTAGTTTGTCCATTTAATCTTTCTGTTTCTTTCTTCAGCCATCAGTTGGATGCTTCTATTCATCGAAATAGGCCTTATCGGTTATTTATCGTGAGTATGCTACCTTTTTATTGTATTGGTGTCTTTAGGATAGTTGTCCCCTGATCACTGACGTCTCTATTTCATCAGATATCGTGCATATATTGATGGAGCCAATCTGGAAAGATATTTATTTCCGTTTTTTGGTCCTATAGCGAGCCAATGGGTAGACTTGGAGTAAGCATATGATAAAGATGTCGTTACTAATAATGACTACAATCATTTCGATTTTTATAATTATAGTCGTTTAATGAGAAGAGGTTGGAAAGGAATTTATTTGCAACTTCTATCTTATGTAATATAACAATTATCACTGTTACTTGATGACAAATGTGTTCGGAATGTGTAGATATTACATTTTTCTTATTTGCCTTCATCATTCTTTGCTGTGTAACTATTAATTTGGCACTCATTAAATTCAATAACATTTTATTAAAAATATAATTATATATGCAAACAATAAGATTTATTCATAATCGGTTGAGGTACCCATCAATGTTACCAGCAAAATCTCTCTCAACGACCGCCACAGAGTGTCCAAATATGACTATCTTGATTTCTTCGTTCTAATATGTCATGTAACTGTTTGGCCAGTTGCTCCCGTGTCCCAACCGTCAATATCTTGGAATTGATTTTCGCGTGGAATGAAAGTTGTCTGCGTAACTGATAAACACTCATGTTAAAGGTTATTTCTGGGTCTTCAATCATATTAGGCTGTGATCCAATGCAATATAACTCCCCTCGCCTCCGCAATGCACTTCTCAAATCACGATGAATAGTCAACTGATTTAGGTTCTGACTGTAGGAATCTCTCACGAACTTTCTCAGTCCATCTAACGTCACTCCTGTCTCGTCCAGGTGTAATACCTCAAGCTCGCTCAAATATATCAAATTATCGAAAGAACGATCGGTAATAAATCGATTCTTCGATATGTCCAGTACTTTCAGCGACTTCCTACGGATGACTAAATGAGCCATTCCTTCGTCTATCATTCCAGTCCGATCAACGTATAATTCCTCCAATGATACCAAATCTCTCAAGACGCTCAGGTATCTGGCATCAATTATCGCTCCACTGAGCCGCAAAACCCGTAAATCAGAAAAGCTGTTGGGTCGAGCAAGCACCGACACCAGTGCAGCTGCACTATACCGATTTCGATTCTCAAGATCATATGGTGTGTAACTGGGCTGAGTCATGCGAAGAGAAAGTTCGTTTTCTTTCACAGTATTGTTAAAAGTATGGCTCAAGTCCATCGTTGTCACGCATTCAACCACTCGAAATTCACTGAGCATATATTCATTCAGAAAGCCTTTAATGAAAGAAAGCTAAGTCAAGACACTTTAAATAAGAGTAAAGACCAAGACGCAAATATGCATTACATAGGATAATCGGGAGCCGTTTTCTATTTACCTTTTTCCTCTAGCCAATCATATACCGTTTCGACCTTTTCAATTGGAGTCTTTTCTTCTATCAACAAATCCCTAACTGAACTCCCGCAACACTTCTCCACAGGTTTTAACAATTGAGCAATGGAGGATGCACTATCGTTGTACATATGTCCCTGGAGACCATCTTTATATGCTGACGCCCTGTCTATTAGCACGCAAAATAAGTAGTGTATTGTCATGAGAAATATTCAATATCATATACTGATAGAAAATATACCAGATACACACATTTCATCTTATCAAAGTCTTGTTTCATCCTTTTTACTGCAGTAGTAAGCTTTTCTTTCTCAGCCTGTAATGATTCAATCATCTTAGTGTACTTTATGGTTTCCTGCTTTTTGTGATTGAGAGCCTCCTGTTGTTCTAGTGTCTTCTCTCTTAATAGATCAAGATTAAAAAAACTGGCGTGTAGATTCTCTTCTTCATTTTCGTCCTCAGCTCCTTGGGTATACGTCTTTAGTCTTTTGACATCGCTTCTTTCCTCGGCTAAAGACAATTCGTCAGCAAGTGTAAACGTTTTTCCCCTCGAAGACCGTCTTTTCCTAGAATCATTCTTCTTTCCAGAGTCAGCTGTGTTCGTTTTTTCTATCAAAGCCCGAGAGCGAGAGCCAGGCGTTTGACCCGATTCACTGACAAAAGTGCGAGCAGATTTAGGACGGTAGGGTGTCGGGTTAGTATCGGTATCTATACGAGTTATAGTAGAAGTGGCGGGGGAATATTCTTTTTGAAGACTTTTGCGTGTGCGAGGAGTCATCATAGTTCCGAGCAACGCCGTCTAAACCAGGAAAGTATCTTTCAAAAGAGTTGATGTAAATACGAAACGCGATATTATGGTATCACGCGTCGCATTACCATATTTGGTTTGCTGACCAATTGGTAGATTTACATAGAATTAAACCCAGTGTCAACTTGTATCCCAACCTCGGTTACATCCCAGCTTTGACAACGTATCGTTATATTAACGCTTTTGGTTTAACGGAAGCCACTCTTACTATGTATGTATTATTAATAACCCTTTTCATATCGGTTTACACAGAAATAGGAGTATTAAATAGAAAATGATCATGTTAAAAAGGCGTGTGTCTATGTGTATTTGTTTTCAGCGACTGGAGGCAACATCGCTAGTAACACGTCGGGCAACAGTTTGACTTGTTTTTTCTATTTAATAGACTTTCTTTTTGCGAAAAAGTTTATATTTCCCACGGTGATAACAAGTGCAAATTATTCTATATTCTATGTTATGCCATTTCTCTACTTTATTTCCAATAGCCGTAATAGTAAAGACACAGACAGATCCGCTTTTCGGAGAGTGGCTTCTTTGTTTGACAATGCTGTTTAATGTCTGCACTGTAGCTAGAAATGTATATAAGCGGTTGCAATTTTCGCTAGCAAACTGTTATCTTGGCAAATCTTCGAATCACATGATCTCACACGTCATTTCTTTATCAATTCTGTAATTCGATGCTCTAATAAATTATTTTATTGTTAAAATAATTTAATTCAGATTCCTTAGTTAGTAATCGTACTGGTAAAGCGTGAAAACGTTAACCCTCTAATCGATCTCGTCCATCGATTATTCTAACTAGTTGTTCACAAACGCGTTTAGATATACAGTAAATTACCCCAATCGATAGCCTATTACTATCCCACACGCGTAGCGACTCGAGGGGCATTCCAGGATTAACGTGTACAAGATCGGACATACGAGCCGTGAGTGTCTCCAAACCCAATTAACGATCATAACTGTATTGGTAGAATTTGGCGGAGTAACCTCGTTGAAGAAACTAAATTTCAAGGGTTGGTTATCCATCGCTCTCCCAAGACAATTGATCCGATATCGATAAAATATCAAAATTAAATGCTAAATCGTTCAACTTGAGTAAATTCTGATTTTTATTGTTATGTTATAATTAAGTAGAAAACTTTTCAATTTACATAATAATAAATCGAAAAAAGACAATCATTAGTCCGCCGATTGCTAGGAAAATATACATTTAAATGTTGCGACGATGAGCAGTTATCGGTAGTGATGAATTCACGTGCTTCCTTGTCATAAACTTATTGAGAGCGAGACTTTTTGTTCTTCACGCTGTAACTAATGCATTCTCCCATTTCACAATCACACTTTCATTGGTGCTAAATTTGCTGCATAAGGAAATAATAATCTGGTCATGATATGACATCCACTACATGCAGAACAAGTCGGCGAGTTAATATTAAGCCAAATCCGGCTTATCGAGTGTCCCCTTTTTTTGACTATTCGGACAAATACAAATGACTCTCGATACGTCAGATCACGTGATTTATGGAGACCATTTTAGTATATAGGATACAATTAATTATCCAATAATTTTGCTTCATCACAAATTCTGATATAAAAGTAAATGAATCAGAATGAATAACCTAAAACATCAAATTCGAAATGCTTCTCTGAAACAGTTACGTTATTATTATTGCTGCTTATATTTAAATAGAATGGGGGGTTTTTTATTTAAAAATTTATGAAATTCGATAAGTCGGACAAAATCTCCGCCCGAGAGTGCCGAACCATAATTTTAAAATACCTTGTTATGGCTCAAAGCGGGTCAGGTAAACCTATTCAAAAGGAGTTGAATTGTAAACGATAAACTAATAACTTTACAGTATAGAGAGTTGTTATAGTTAAAGTTTCTATCTAGCAAGGTAACAAAGCTATAAATATTCATGGTTGAAATATTTAGCATCTTCTAATTAAATTAAAAACTGTTTAGGCGATAACATGTTTCGTTGCTCGTAAGATATTCTACAGTGTATAATTAATAGCGTTAAGCTGATACGTGTTCTATTTCGCTCGGCTCTATATCAGAAATTTACAAGGATGATATTAAGTATTCCATATGTCTAAGTCAATCCACTTCTTCTTCTTCTTCTTCTTCTTCTTCTCCTTCTTCTCGCCTCCTAGCAACGCTGCGCACTACAAAATATCGGAAAACATCGCCTACGGATAATATTGATTTGAGGATTGTCAGTAGTAGAATATAAATACACATATACAGAATGACCGGGCAAACAGCCGAGCATAAGTCTGCAGTATTATCATTGATATCTATATACCTATTGGCTATACTCTAAATTCTCGAACATTACAGTTTAAACTCGACAATTATTGACTACTTGGAAATTTATCTGACGATATGCTAACACCATTTGTCCCATTAGGTAATAAGTTGGTTCGTACCCATTTGCCATGCTGATGTCACTGGTTGACCGCTATCTACTTTGTTTGGAATTGAAGTTAATATTGGCGATATACTCGATGTACTTGATGCTGACGGTCCAAACGAGACCCTTCTGTTCGTTCTTGGTATTGTGATTTTGGGCGAAGATGGTGATGTGGCAAAGAGACTTGCATAACGATTGATGGCCAATGTTTTCAAAGACTGCAGTTCCTGACTTAGCTCAGCTAGCTGTTGTGTTTGACTTGTCTTTATATTATCCAGCAGCTGATTACCATGCAAAGTATTTATATCTCAGCTGTTTGATTTTTATCAGGTAATACATATTCGAATATACACTTATTAGCATCAGTACCTTGAGAACCAATTCTCCGACGGCCTCTACTTCTTCCTTAAGCACTCCAAGATCCTTGTCTCTCTCGATGTCGTTGGCTTGGAGTCCTCTTAACAATTTCTCCAATGCAATCAATGTTTCCCTCATGCCCACGCTTTGCTCTTCTACATACTTTCGAATCAATTGAGTATCATGCTTCACAGCGTCCAACTTATCAGAAGCAATCGCAAACTGATTATGCTGCTCCTCACGCACTAATTGATCCGTTATAGTTGGGCTAAACAGGGATCCTATATATTCCTGTAACGATTATCAAAGTTGCAGTACTTTATTATTGTCGAGCATATGAATAATACATACATTGTGCTTACCTTTGTCATAGATATGATAGCATGTCCTAATCCGCCCACAATAATTACATTCAAAAATAAGTTTCGCCAGTCCGTTCTTGGTCGAACATGCAGCAATTGGTGAACTGGTTGATGTACATCTGGCCTTTTCGCAGACAACTCGATATGCGTCACTAAAGCATCCCTATCTATTATTAACCGTAAGGCCTCGTTTATCTCTTCTATAGTCAGGCCTTTAGACGCTAAGAAATCCAGTCTTTTATCAAGAGATGTGTTCTGTAAAGTAGGATGTTGCAAAAATTTAACGGCGGAATGAACTAAGTCACTACGTACGGCGACCATTTCTTCTGCTCTCCGAGAGAATACAACGGGAATATCTATCTACAATAGCCTTCCTTTTGCAGTGAGCTACATGTGTGGCGTGAAAAGCGGTAACACAGTAGGAAGATAATTACCTGTAATCGAGAAAGATGAACCTCGAACAAAACAATAAAGGGCAAACCCACTTTGTTGAGGATAGGCTTTTTTATCTGCAGTTGTCTTTGTGTCGCTACTTCTATAGAATTTCGGCTTTCACACAAATTGCTGTTCGCAATTTGACCGGGTCGACCCAAATCGCAATTGGCATGGGCTCAGTGTTATATTTATTTCGTTTGCTCATATTCTACTACGAGAAACAAATGTACGAAGATTCTGTGTAATAAAGATGTTAATAGGTCGACTGGCGGTGCTGTATTTATAAACTGAACAGAGGATTTAATAGCAATGATCATATAATGTGTTTCAATAAAGTTTATTGTTAGCGTTTAAAGAACAATCACATTACTCTTAATTTCGTGGATAGATTACCAAACATTGATTGGCATTAACAATCTTGGTATACTGTATCATCCGATTACGCGAAGTATCGATCGTACGATTGATAGCATTGTTTGAAAAATTAATGTGATGTATGTTCATAATTCGTATTATTATTATTTGGCGAACGTGTATATATACGAGTAGAGCTGAGCCAATCGTTTAGGCTGCTAAAAAATATTCGATATTCGTATTAACAATGTCTTTCAGTTGACTTGCATGTGTTACGAGATAGACTAACTGAAGATGTTGTAGGAAACACTCACCACGTTAGTGATTACGTGGTAGTCTATAATAATAAATTCGTGAATAGATATCACGGGAACTCGCGTATATTTATAACACATTAGGTACCAAAAAACAAAAAATTTATATAGAGACAGATCTAGTGCAACTTCCTGCAGTATAATGTTTGGGGAAAAGCCTCGAATTAACCGACCGAAATTTCAACAACTCTCTCAAGTCCTCGATCATCAATGATCAAGTGAGACGCACGTTGACGAGTTACCAGTAGACGATCACACGCCTGAGAATGACGGTTTTCTGTCCGGGGATGACGCACATATCCCAAAACGCTACAGGAAACTTTTGTTCAAGATACGATGATTTATAAACCTTTCCGTATGATTCTACCAAATTCACGTCGTTACTCTTACGTTTTCCGATATTTGATGCATGCTTATAGCTATAAGGCCCAATGTCTGGAATGAGTCGACGAAGAGCTTTATAATGAGATGCGATGAAACGGGATTTACTGTCTCACTGACTAACGTCTAGCGCTGGTTAATTACGAAGGGTCAAGCACATGTGGTTGTCAGTCAGACTGTTCAAACAGCCAATGTTCATTTTATGAAATAAAGCAATAACATGTACTGACAAACAATATCTTATGATCTGGGTCGGAACATTTCTTTCATTCAACTCCATACGTATTTTCAACTAAGGGTTTTTTATTAATCACACTTGAAAAAAGGGCTTATTTGGTTTGGGAATATGTTTCATTTCTTTCAATTAACTTAACAAAATACAGTAGCTTTGTATTCTCAGTATCTCAATAGACTCTATAGATATATCTACCTTTGACATACTGCAAAACCTTTCCAGCAATTTAATCCCCATAAATAAACATGTACAGCTCGATTCAGGAAATTGTTGACGTACTGGATGACAATTCTTTTGGGTATTCGTAAAGAGATTGGTAGACTATCCTTTTTTTTTAGGAAAGGGAAACTCGTAATTATATATATATCACGTTTTTATAAAGGACAAATTTGTCTTTCTTTAGAGAGTGCTGATGAAACCATTGCTTGATTAGATTCTATTACTATTCTAACCCTTTAAATTAATTTCAAATAAGTAAATCGGTAACCGAAATTTAAAAGTAAGCATATTATAATTCCTATTATGCGCATAGATGTATATCATAATTAAATATCCAACCGATCGAAGTTTAGCTTGATATATTCTTTTATCTTTGACCTCAAATACTAATTAAACTACTCGTAACAATATACGCGATTCACACTACACATAACATACTTTCGTTCGATCGTAAACAACAGAAAATGCCTAAAGCTTCTAAGAATTCACGTAAACAACCGACTACTCATACTATACCTAAACAAACAACAAAACCGGACAAAAAATCGACCAAAGAACCAAAAAGACCACGAAGTGCTTTTTTGTATTTCTGCAGTGAAAAAAGAGAGGAGGTTAAGAAACAGCACCCATCGATGAAACTTGGTAAATTATTATAAAATTATTTGTTATCAACAATGTGCAAGAAGTAGAGTGCATTGGTAAGGAAGAAAGTGCGTATATTTCTTACCATTACCGCACAACTTTGTTTGTAGGTGATACTCAAAGAGTTCTTGGTGAGATGTGGAGAAATCTATCTGAAGCCGAAAAGACCGTATGTAATGCATAACGATAGTGTTTAAACAATGTGCTATCAGCATGGATAACGTCAACACAATTTCTTTATCAAGCCTTATAACAAATTGGCTGTTACTGACAAGAAACGATACGAGGATGAAAAGGCAGATAAGGCAAAGCATTAATCTGTTGACGTTTGTACTGTTATCAAAGACACTATAACAGATGTCGATTTCTGTTATTCTTAATATCTAGTCCGCACTTAACAAAAAAATCGAAGATGGTGAGGAATTCGAAGGAGAATAGACCGCAAAATCAATGATAGTCAACGTACTCTCGTCTCTACCATGCCCATATGAAAGACAAAAACGCTTATGATAATTTCCTTCAGTTGTAATTCTTTATTGCGCGTTCTATTTCTGTTAAACGATAGTCTCGGCATTAATATAGTGGCATTCATTATACCTGAATTTATTCAATTCATGAACGCTAAAGCTCATTATGATTTATTATCCATGTGTCATTTATTATTCCATTTACTCGCTTTTGCATTCTCTTTGAAGAAGCTCGTAACGACGTAGAAGCCAGCAAATTACACCCATGCCTACGCGTTATTTGTTGACGTTCCTGTATTTCTACTAACACCCACTGCGGATTTTCTCGCATCATAATAATACTAGTACGTACAATAAAACCTTATCGACGCATATGAACCTTTCTAATTTGTGTTGACCGAAGGAATCTTATGATAATTGAGTAATTCCAGCATAAGCAGCACCCCAAATCTTTCGTTTACTCGGGTTTGTAACACCTAAGTGTTGAACAATTACCGTTTTTATTCATCTAACGATACCATTCCAACCTCTCTGTTCTAACTTGTGACATTAATTAACCATGCCAACTCCGAGTTCGAGCCAACCAGACCTTATGGTATAATAATTTTGTATCTTCATCGTTCGATCGGCTCTTTCGACACCAGGAGGCCCAGCTTGCACGGGCCTGCAAGTATCAATGAGATGCATCGTCAATCTGCAAAATCGGTTTCGATGTCAATCTCGATACTGGCACAAAAAGAGACGTAATGATGTTTATTCAGATCTTCAAATGAATTAGACGTGCAGCTACTTCGTCTGGTGGAGAAAATCTCAAACCGATTTTGGTCACTAGTGGCAATAGATTGCAGTGAATGAAGTGGATGAAGACTCGGGGGAGTTTACGACTGCTTCCGAGAAGTGATACGTCTTCTGTTGCGAAGCGGGAACAGTCGACTTGCGGAAGAATCTTGGCGATGGAAGACGGTATATTAACTTAGATGTTATCGAATATCTTGTTGCATCAATTTATATTTTAAAGTCACAGGTGAGTAATGTATACAGTTATTCATTCTAATACCCAATGTACTTATTGGGTATGTATTATGGAATAATTAAGTAATTAATTCTAATCGACAATAATAATACAAAAACTATAAACAATTAATATCAAAGTCCATAACAACCAAAGTCTCGTCGAATAAGCTCCACCTCATACGCACATTTTCCTATCCTCAATCATTCTCTTTCCCTTATTCATCACCCTTGCCCATTCTTCCAATTCTCTACATTTGGGCATCATCCCTCCTTTACAGAAAGTAACATTGACCTGTTTCAAATAAGGCAATGTCTCGTTCAACAGTGGCTCAACCATAAGCACTGTTATGTTTTTGCAGTTGACTATATCCAATCGTTCCAACATTGTGCATGTTGCCAAACTATGCCATGCCTCTGAATCCTGGAAGTCGGTACTATGTAAGCGCACATCACGTAGAGAATTTGCCTGATTAAAGAGAGAAGACTCGACACGTGGGACGCCATTGACCATATAAAATGATATAAGCTGTTTCTGGGATTTGATTAATTGGCTGAGATATCGCGAGCTGGACGAGCCTCTGAGATTCGATAAATTTATATGTTCCTGTATAAAGGGTAATTTAAGGATGTACATAAGGTTTGCTGTTAATTTTGTATAGCGTGCTTTGCTTTACAGAGAATAAAATAGTGCTCTTAAAGGTTCGAAGTGCAGCCATAACCATTTCTGCAGATACTCGTAAATAAATGCACACAGTCACAGCCGTTAATATACAGCTCGTTCTCTTCTCATACTAATATCTGTGTACTTACCAAATTATTACATGTTTGTGCCAGTCCACATGCCAGCTTCCCTATATTAGTCAGCTTAGATATCTCTAAATATCTAATCGGAGCAATCATCTCCATGAATTCATCCTCGATAATGACACAAATTGCTTCATCATACTTTCCATCATACCAATCGTCCAACGGTAACAACAATGATGTCAATTCAATCCCTCTTCTCTTAAACAGTCCCAACATGATCCTCACCACCAGCGCCAATTTATCCCCCCAATCACGCCAGTTTCTGCACGCCATTATTAACTCCCAGAGATTAAGATGTCTGACAAATGATGGATAATCAAACATTGGTCGCCGAATAGCGTACGGAACGTCTAGGCCATTTTCACGAAGGAGAGACCTATCGGCGTCTGTTAAGGACAAGACGTACGTTCTTAAGACATTTGGCATTGCAGAGTCTACTTCATCGTAATGGAAGAATGGTCTATTCCACAGTATTGGCATTGCGCCCTGACACCACTGGCGGTTAACTAGCGCACAATGGTATAAATCGCAATAGGATGACCTATGTAGTTGCCATATGAACTCGTTCTCTCCTGAATCAAGAGAGATTTTTTTTGTAATCAAACGATCGTATAGATCATCATAGAATGACCATGTGTCACGGTTATCGAGATAACAGAATATCTTGTGAAGAACTTTTAAAGGAAGATCCTTAGTCATTATGTCGGGAATGGATAGCAAGAATATGAAATGTATATGGAATATAGATTATTGGGTGATTGATGAATTCAGGATTAACAAATGTGTTTATATTAGATTTAGAACCACAATTGCGTGTTATATTTAAGTCCCCTCGGCCGTGGGAATAATAAGAATCCCCTTTGAGAAATTATTGTTGTGGGGTAGCCGATTGTCGTACAACTAATTTCCGGATTTGGGTAAAAGTATGGGGGACATTGTAATTTAGCACAAAATGATGTAATGATCGGCGAATAATATGGGGTTCGGCAATTATGAGAAAGCCCACATAGCCGAATGGGGAAAGGTAAATTGTATGATTACTAAATCTCTTTTTTATCGAACTCAATCTTTTTGTTCAACGTTACCCATCTGCCTATAACAAACAATTTAATATTCATTCGTATACACAATTCTTCCGTCATTAATAGTTTTCCTTGCATGATTACAGCTAGTTCATTGTCATCCCACACGATACTCTTCAATATTCGCCAATGCATTTCTCACGTGAATTGATGGCGAAAAAAAAGGTAGCTTACGATTTCGGTATTAGCCAAATGTGGACTAGACCATCAGAACCCCGCCAATATGCAATTCTACATCTAATCTCGATCTAATCAAGATCTTCATACTAACCATTTTAGAAACTTGTTTAGCGACTTTCGGCATGATATTTGGGACACAAGCATACACGGTTATACGAGAGAAAAACGCATGACTGACTATAGTATCATTTTTTATAAAACACTTATCGAAAGCAAGGAGAGGTGATCCATAAGACAAAAAATGAATAGGAGAAAAACAGTATAACGTATCTCGTGAAGAAGAGGTGCAAAGTGAATGGGAAGGTACTGATTAGGACAGAATAAACGAAGACTTTGGCTTGCTATCTTTCCCCTATAACTTGAGAACTAAGAGGTACGAATAAACCCCATCGAACCCACCCCCTCACTACATGCTTGTTCCGCCGCTTAAAGTTCGGCAAGAATGGAGTTGAAGAGGAAATTATGTCCTTATTACCGATAGATGTCAAGCATCCAACAGTGACGCTTACTCATGAAATAATGTATGGGTATTGTTCTATAAACAGTATAAACAGGAACACAACGGTGACAGCAACATCAAGAACAATCGGCGCATTTTAATAGACGGAGTCCTAGTGCTACCAGATGAATAAACATTTTGATCGGTTTAGTAAGGGGAATTTTTTGCTGCGCTGGAGTCATGCTCGTCTAGGAAGTTTTTATTTTATCAAAACATTAGGTCATGAGATTGATGAATAAAGAAACACTTATCGCATTTGACAATCTGAATTCGCTTGACGATTCGGTAAATAAAGAAGTTTACTAATTGAAATTACGATTTTATTTACGTTCCTGATTTATATTTCTCGCATACCAAGTATTTTTTGCGTCAACTCTATGACTTGGCAACATTTACAAAACCACCCGATTCTTCCTAACTTGAAAAGCCCAAGTCGTATATTGACACTTCATTTGACTCTAACTGTTAATTATTCAACTAATGATATACCTATCCCTAATACTTCACTTTCTTTTTCTTTTTGCTTATAATCAGGATGCAAATTATTACCAAGATTCACTCGACTTGTTCAGAAGCTCAGTGCATCGCGTGATAATTTGTAAGACGTATACATTTAATTAGTGGACCACATCCCGTACGATGATTAATTGTCCAATACAATTACTTACACATCGGCTACACAAATTTATAATTGGCAATGTTATAACAAGGGTCATGCATGATGACAAATATTATTCTTTGTGGAGGCAAAAAATTTTCAAAAAATTGCACCTGAAATGATGGCCACGAAGCGCTTTTAATTCTCCGATTTACACTTAGTGGCAGCGTAACTTCGGATACATAACCGACCACGACTGTATTTGTTTACTCAAATAGCCAACCAAGGAATACCCCGTGTATGTCATGCCATTAGAATCATACAATCAAAGAAACATACATTAGATCATACAATTAAAGTCATATGATTAAAGCTTCATTAGATCATACGATTAAAGCAGTAAACATATCGTTAGAATCATACGATAGACAGCATTAGAATCATACGATTAAAGCAATAAACAAGTCGATTCTCTAAGATAAGCTAGTCTGCAAGATTATTTTGCGATATAATTATTATATGAATGTATAAATGTATATCTTCGGTCACGTGATTCTTGATAAGTCGGCCATTTGAGGCGGGCTACTGTAGTTTGTAAAGTCGTATATCTCGCTGTTATGTATTTTTGACTTTTAACTTTTGGCACAACTTTCTACAAATACTGTATGTTTATATACAAATAAAGAAACTAGAAACGGTAACGAAACAAGTTTGATTTAGTAGGAATCTGTTATAGTAGGTAAATGCTGTCGGATGTAAATACAGTGTGTGACAAAAAAACTTAACCATTTGCGGAAAAATTTAACTAATAATTAAACTTTGTCAGTTTTGGCTCAATTCGCGTCATATTTTGCCAGCTGAAAA